ATGAATAACTGATTCAATGACTCAGAGTCATGTGTTTTGTTGATGAATGAATCCTTGAGTCCTTGAATCAGTTATTCATCCAATTCATTCAGACGCAGTGATTCATTTAGTAATAAATCAAGTGACTATGAATGAGTCACTGAATCAATTGCTCATCCAACTCATTCAAACACAGTGATTCATTCAGTAAAAAAGTAAGTGGCTGAGTCTGAAACCGTTCCATACTATATAGTATGCTAAAATCAGTATGTGAGCCGAGTAGTATATCCGAATACATAGAATTCGAAAATCAGTAAGCAATAAGTACCCGGATGACTTACTACTTCCGGCGAGATTCTGAAGTGTGCATCCTATGCATGCTGCGCTGTCCCATGATGCCCCGCGAGAGAATTCATGAATGGAATTGAAGCTACGCAACTGACGCAGGTAGGTCACGTGACCATGACAAAATGGCGGATGTAGTACGTCTGAATTCCATTCATACTGTATAAAACATACCTTTCTAACGGTCGAGTAGTATGTTTAAATTCAAATGCAGTACCTACTGAGTAGTAGGCGGTTTCGGACGCAGCCAGTGACTATAAGTGAGTCATTAAATTAATTACTCATCCAATCGATTCAAACACTGATTCATTCAGTAAAAAACCAAGTGACTATAAGTGAGTCATGAATCAATTGCTCATCCAGTTCAGTCAAGCACAGTGATTCATTCAGTAATAAAGCAAGTGACCATAAAGGAGTCACTGAATCATTCACTCATCCAAATATTTCAAGATATAATAAATATTTCAGACAAAAAACTACAAATTATTTACAAAGCTAATTAAATAAAATTGATTGATTTATCCGGAAAGTTTTGTGACTGTAAATACACTGTTGAGATGTGATATGATTGATAAAATACATTCTTTAATGGTACTGCAGTGCATTTAGCTGCTTGATAACAGTGTGTTAATGAATAATAATGTCTACTAACTGTGTCTTGCATTAAGTTACAGCCTTTTTAAACGCAGTATCCGGAGAGAGCTATAGTCCATTATCGTCCCTTACACAAATTATACAGCAATCGTTCTTGCATTAAGATTTAGAACGCAATTAGAAAGAATTATAACGTCGACTCGGATACAGTGGGCAGATGATGTAGACATGATCCAGTTTCCACGGCATCAGACGAACACGCATATACATCGTTACAGAGCTAAATTAAAAGCCCTATGGGGTTTGCTGGCCTGTTTGCTTTAATGTTACTTTAGAGGCCTGGCTAAAAGGAAGTAATTCCAGAGGAGGATTCCTGTCATCCATATGGGCCGTGTTGACAACCGCAGCCACATTTCCTATTGATTCACAGCAGAGAATTCATCCCTCACTCCCACATACAAGGCTGGAGGTGAAAAATACATACATTTGCTCATAAAATATATAGATCTGCACTGAGACTCATGTACACACTCTTAGAGAAACACACACACATGGTTTTTCACCTCAGGCAATGTAGCCGCGAGAGGGACCGAACAAGTTCACCGAACAACAGAGAAAGGAAACAGTTAATCAATATGCATGAGAGATGGAGGAAAAGAGAAAGGAAAGACAGAAAATAAAAGGGATACGCTCTGTCTATTTCGCCAAATGAACAGCCGTACCTTTCCTTTCGGTTCGGTCATTATGCACTGACCCTTGATTTAAACACGTCCACATCAGCTCCTACTATTACGTCTTTAAGAGAAATGGGACTGTCACAGTAAAAAACAACACCAAAACACACTCAGCAAGACGATGCGTGCTCAAGCAGCAACATTTCTCGTAATTGTTTGGGGAAGTCCAAACCAACAAGCATAAAAACTCTCAAATTTCCTTTCAAATCGAATGAATCCGCATCAAAGCACTGTGTGCAAACATGATAACTCATTTCTTTACCAAGATGCTCTGTAAAGCCTTTCTTTTCATGCCTGCTGGGTTTAAAGTGAAAGGGAAAACGATGCACAGACTATTTCTGACAAGCCAGGACTAAAAACGTTGACATTTGCATAACCAAAGGCATTTGCAATTACAATTAACCAATTAGGACATCAGAAAGCTTTGTGAGAAAGCAGACCCTCATTATGAACCCAAGATTCCCACCAAGTGGGTCATGCAAAACAACACAAAGCAGGTTGGTTTTAACCTGTGCCAGAAGAGGGAAAGAAGCAAACAATGATGAGGAGAGAGTGTTAAAAACAAACCAAGAACAAAGTTTGGTCTGCTCTAAATAATAGATCGTTCATTCATACAAATGTGTTCATAAACATGAGTCACTGAATCATTCACTCGTTAAGTTTGGCCAACAACACTGGTTTATCCAGAAACTAAATAAGAGTAAAAGATTCATATTCTCATTTGATTCATTCAAACACACTGTTTTGATCAGGAACAAGTAATCATTCTTACAAATTGAATCAATTCCTCAACAACACTGATTGACACAGACAAGACTATTTTGAAACCCAAGCTCATTCTCAAAATGTAGCCCCGCGGATGTTTCTGGAGACTGCGATTTACATGGCCAGAGGTATTTTTTTTTCAAGCGAACGCTACGGGGCGGTGTGACGCCGCTTCTCTCCGCGCTTGCCGGCTGCCGGCTTACCTCCTTGTGGAGGGCTTTCCCACCGCAACCAGTTTGCCCGGTTAGCTCGTTGTGAACGTAGGCGGAGCGGAGACCCAGAGGGGAGCTGACGGCGATGACCAGGTTCGAATCCGGGGAAGAGCGGTTCCAGGAATCAGGTAAGACAAAAACAGAATACAAAAAATAAAGTGAACGAGTTCCTAACAGGGCGAGAATGTGGTGAAATCCGAATTTGTGGTAAAAATCAGACGAGGGCTTTTCTTTTTTTGGACAGCTTTTGTAAATCGTTGTTTGGGTTTGGGGAATTAGGAGGAGGAGGAGGGTGGGTCGGCCGATTGGCCGGCCGCTCACTCAATCATTCAGTTAGTCAGGCGGACAGATGGTCGCTCTACATCGGCCTCTGGTGGATTTACGTAAGAACAGCGCGGGCACGAACGATGCGAAAAATCACACACAGCAGCCTCTAGCGGATTCACGAAAACAAAAACTGTTTCGCTGGTCTTCAGAAACGTCCACAGGGCTATGTTTCCAGATTGAGCCTGGGTAGCTATTTTTGGTAGCATCATTGAGTCATAGAAGCAGATGAGTGATTGATTGATTCTAAAAGGCAAATAAATAAATACATTTATTTATAGAGCAAAGGCATTTATGGAGTGATTAAATCATAAAGTTTTCAAACAAACAATAAAATGATTCAGAACAAACCTTTCCTGTGAGTCATTGAATGATTTACTGATTAATTTAACGCTGATTCATTTCATTCTGCTTGGAGATGCTCAGTGGCTCATTACATGGTACGTTTGTTCTAATATTTTCTTAGCTGAGAAAAAAATATGTTAAATACTGTGCATAAAATTCAAGTTACTAAACTTTAAAGGTGCTGTATGTATATTTTTGATTACTCAAAAGCACAAACATACAATAATACATTTGTAGATATTTAAGAATCATGCAAAGTGTACATATTTATTTATCTGAAAAACAATGCTAAAGTCAGTTATTCTCCTTTGAAAAAGTGTGTTCCGTGCTGGAGTGTCTGTCTTAGATTTGGTCTGTTTAAGTCCACCCACTGACAGGTAACTCAATTATATTTCACCACCTTTGGTTGCCTTGTCAGAAAACATGGCATATATTTTATTTGTCATGAAGGTTGTCTCAATATATGCACACGCAGACAAAAATCAACCTGTCAGATGATAGCAAAATCCCCTGAAATGAGACGCAGGTTTAAAGTTCTTCAAGTCCACATGCAGAGATTTTATTTGCAAAAAAAATACAAATATTTCAAACGTAATAATTAGCTGAGCAGCTTACAGTGAAAGGCTCACTCCTGTTGGTGTTGTCAATCTGGCAACATGCATTTGTATCGAGTCAAAATCATTCATTCATGTTCTTTTCGGCTTTGTCGACTTTTTAATTACGCCAAAATGTAAGTAAACTAAAGCATCACTCATGCTCCCGAATGAAATGCCTACTTTACTACATCCAATCAGCTCGCTGTAGAAAAAACAAGCCACGCCCCCTGTTTCTCATTTAATATTTAATTTCTCCTGGAAATGTCACAGTACGATAAATAAAAAAACGCTTGCAGCTTCCCGTTCATGCACACTTTAATATCTTTCTTCATAATGCTTGATTGATTTACAAAAGCAGTTTTATTATGTCACGTCAGTAGAAAGTGTTCACTATTTTGAAAACAGACAAAACGTAATTAAGCTAAAGTGTCACTTATCTTTCTGAATGAAATGCCTGCTTTGCAACATCCAATCAGCTCGCAGTAAAAAAAACAAGCCACACCCACTTGTTTCTCATATAATAATCCAATCTTTCTAATAACTGTCACAATGCTTTTCTATATCCAATCAGCTCGCAGCTGAGAAAACTGAGCCACACCCACCATTTCCTCATATAATATTTCATTTCTCTAGGAACTGCGTCACAATACTTTACTACATCCAATCAGCTCGCAGCAGAGAAAAATAAGCCATGCCTACCGTTTTCTCATTTAGTAGTCCATTTCTCTGGGAACTGCATTACAATACTTTACTATGTCCAATCAGCTTGGAGCAGAAAAAATAAGCCATGCCTACTGTTTACTCATTTAATAGTCAATTTCTCAGGGAACTGCATCACAATATGAAAATTTTCAAGTTTTTCTGACACATTCACTATAACTCTTGATTGATCCACAAAATCACAGTTTTATCACGTCATGTCACTAGAAAATGTTCACTATTTTGAAAATAGCCAAAGCGTAATTCAGCTAAAGTGTCACTACTTTTAGTTAGTTACTTCCCCAGAACTGCAGCTATAGGGTCCTTTGGGACAATAGGGGCCCACTGGGGATTTTTTTCCATGAGCGCAAGGACATTAATGAAAGCATTTTGTGCTGTTCTCCTACCTGCTTGAGGAGCCATCAGAAAGGGAAGCTTGATAGGCGAGAGCGAGAGCAGGTGGAGCGGGTGAGCAGAAGAGACAGATGGTCCCTGTGTCACGTCACAATCCATCGCCATCATGGCTTCTGCTGCCAGAGAGACGCGTTTAGAACTTCCAACTCGCTTAATGGCCATGGGACAACCTGCAATGGAAAAAAATAAAGATTGATAAAAGGAGTGCGCACTTTGTAAAATAATACCGTCTGCCACTTTCTTGCAAAATGTGCTCGTAAATGTTTATTTTGATGGTTGCACTTTATCTGGACTGGCAGAATAGTTTGAGTGCATTCAGTGTGGACGGGTTTAATGCATTTCTTTTTTTCTCCCTTTTGAGAAGTTTGATAGGAAAAGATGATTGCGACTTCTGATGACTTTGAATGCTCGACATTTTAGTTGTTAAAGCAGCTTTAATCATTTTTTACAATGTGGAATCTGTCTGCATAACAGCACAAGTCAACATGAAAAGGCCTTTGTGAAGCATTTGAAAGATAAGCGAGTGTTTCTCTGGCGTAAAACATGAACACAAACATAGCATGTTATTATTATAAGAATGTAAATGGGTCATTTTTGCCTTTAAAGTAGACAGTTTTTCATTCATTCATTTATTCATTCATTCATTCATTTTCTTTTCGGCTTTGTCCCTTTAATAATAATAATTTATATAATAATTTATTTAGTAATAATAATAATAATAAGAAGAAGAAGCAGAAGAATATGTAATTAGTAAAATTAATAATAAATGAGGAAACACAATGCAAAAATAAATAATAATAATCAAAAGGAAAATTATAATAATAATAATAATGAAAATAAATAAATTTATAAAATAATTATGCTCCAAAGTATGTAGGTAAGTGCATGTATGTAAGTGCATGTTTTACATGTGTATTTACACTCATGGGCCACTTTATTAGGTACATCTGTCCATCTGCTCGTTTAGGCAAATTTCTAATCAGCCAATCACGTGACAGCAGCTCAGTGCAATTAGGCATGTAGACATGGTCAAGACGACCAGTTGCAGTTTAAACCGACCATCATAATGGGGAAGAAAATTTAATTAAGTGACTTTGAACGTGGCATGGCCGTTGGTGACAGACGGGCTGGTCTGTATTTTTCAGAAACTGCTGATCTACTGCAATTTTCACACACAACCATCTCTAGGGTTTACAGAGAATGGTCCAAAAAAGAGAAATCCAGTGATCGTCAGTTCTGTTGGTGCAAATAGTCACTTTAGAATTATAAGGTTCTATCTGACATTTTTTTTGTCAAAATTTAGTTATTCACATATTCTTATTAAATAACTAATTTACATTATGGGATTTTTTTTATAAGTTGTTTACAATTTAAGACTTTTTATTAAAAAAAAACTAATTTTACACACATACTGTACTGTTTGCTATGGAATAGAAAAACTTTAACGCTCATTATCTCAAAATCATTCAGAATGCAGACAGAACCTTTAAATTCCAAGGTGACGAAATGCCTTGTTGATACCAGAGGTCAGAGGAGAATGGCCAGACTGGTTGGAGCTAATAGAAAGGCAACAGTAACTCAATTAAGCACTCGCTACAATCGAGGTATGCAGAAGAGCATCTCTGAACACACAACACATTGAACCTTGAGGCGGATGGGCTACAGCAGCAGAAGACCACACCGGGTACCACTTCTGTCAGCTAAGAACAGGAAATTGAGGCTACAATTCACACAGGCTCACCAAAATTGGACAATAGAAGATTGGAGAAATGTTGCCTGATCTGATGGATTTCGATTTATGCTGCAAAATTCGGATGGTAGGGTCAGAATTTGGCATCAACGACATGAAAGCATGGATCCATCCTGCCTTGTATCAATGGTTCAGGCTGGTGGCAGTGGTGTATGTAAGGGATATTTTCTTGCCACACTACAACTCAGTACTAGTAAGATGTACCTAAAAAAGTGGCCGGTGAGTGTATATTCATTCATTTATTTATCATAGTATCTAAGTTTATAGTAGAAATCATTAGAAATTATTATTCCAGATCTTTCTGAGATAAAGGGAAAACAGGAAAATATAATCCTGCTTCACAACCAACCAACCTTCCTTACTGTATATATTTTTAAAGCAACGCTGGTCCCTTAATAGTCACCTATAGATGAACTAACACACACATGTCCTCTTCTCATCGCCAGTGTTTTCGGTGTCTGCCTCCACTGAACGAGGAAAATGCTATTTAACGAAACCTTGAAGAGATCTTTGGAGAGAGCAGGCGGGGTGTTTCTTCCACGCTGAGCAGCTGAAACACTTTATCTAATGGTACTGAGTGGGCGGATCAGAGCCAACCAGAGCAGTTCCATGCACATGTAGCGCACTGGAAATCAGGCCACCGGGGAATATATCATATGGAGCCGATCCAGCACAACCACTCATGCCCATACTGGATAACGCTTCATGTGAAGGGAAAAACAACTGAGGGTTTGAGTCTGGGTAACACTTCAGATTACAGCCTGCAATTTACATGTAAACCCAATTAACAGCTTAAATGTTTTGTAATAACAGTTTAGCTTTACACTGTAAAGAAAATCTATAAAATGCATGATAAAAAATGGCAGCTGTAGAAAATTTGCCAGAAATTTACTATGAAAACAGGGTAGAAACTATATAATATACAGTTGAAGTCACAGGTATTATCCCACTTGTGATTACTTTTTTTTTTTTTTTTTTCCCCAAATGATGTTTAACAGAGCAAGGAAATTTTCACAGTATGTCTGATAATATTTTTTCTTCAGTAGAAAGTCCTATTTGTTTTATTTTGGCAAGAATAAAATAGTTTTTTAACTTGTTTATAAACATTTTAAATCAATATTATTAGCCCCTTTAAGCAATTTTTTTGATTGTTTATAGAACAAACCATCATTATACAATCACTTGCCAAATAACCCTAACTTGCCTAATTAACCTAGTTAAGCCTTTAAATGTCACTTTAAGCTGAACACTAGTATCTTGAAAAATATCTATTCAAATATTATGTGCTGTTTTAACGGAGGCCAACTAGTAAGTGCTGTGCAGGTAAACCACACTCCTTTTAATTCAGCAGGGCTAATAATTCTGACTTCAACCATATAATATAATTTGGTCCCACTTTATATTAAGTGGCCTTAACTAATATGTACTTACATAGCAACTAATAGTTTGTTACAATGTACTTATTGTGTAAATACATGTATTTACTTTGTACTTATGCTTGATTAAATACATGTATGTAATTACATCTGTAACTAACTTTTGTAATTACATTTGTAAATACACTGTTGACCATCCCTTACACCTTAACCCACCCTTAAACCTACCCATACCACCAAACCTGTCCAGAACCCAACCTCTATCCCAACTCAAAAGCAACACAAGTGTTCTCAAATACATTATAAACACAGTAAGTACATTGCATTTATTTTTTTGAGGTAAGTACATAGTAGTTAAGGACACTTAATATAAAGTGGGACCTATAATTTTTGTAATAATAGTTTAAAAAAAAACGACATTTAGAAAATTTACAGTAAAAAATTGGCAGTGAGGGTTGCCAGAACTTTGCTGTTAAAAATAGACAGTGGCGGATTTAGGCATGAGCAATATGGGCGATCGCCCAGGGCGGCATTTTGTTTAGGGCGGCACGGGGAGACGGTGCAAAAAAAAAAAAAAAGTATCCAGTATCAATCAACTGTGAACCAGTAAAAGCTTAGAGATAGGATTTACTTTACGAAAGTGTATTAATCAAGAGTGGTAAACCCAGAATAAAGATGTTAGGGGCCATTCACATTTGGCGTCTTTTGCACACACAAGTTCGTTATTCTTTATGTGCACTCGAAACAATGCTGGTCAAAACAAATTAAAGCATGTGCGCAGAAAACCATTCCTGTGTGCCTCAGACACGTTGCTCCTGCTCTCGGTGTGAATCCCAGTTTACATGCATGTCAATAAAATACACGCCTCTCCTGAGCTGTGAAACCAGAATAACAGCCTTTTATGTAGAGGTGGATGAGACTTAATAACAGTATTTCTTAGCCATCATTTCGGTCTAAGACAACAGATAATGCTATAAAACATTTTTTTTTTTTTTTATGTTGTATAGAATTATCCTAATTACTACTCCTGCAGAAGATTTTGTAAGTGATCTCAGTATATCACTACAGTTGTGTCGTTACATCGTTTTTCCAGTTACATTTAGGAATGATTTCTGTTATTTAATTAGAATAATAACTGTATAATAATTATATGAATAATTCATTCATTCATTTTCTTTTCGGCTTAGTCCCTTTATTATTCTGGGGTCGCCACAGCGGAATGAACTGCCAACTTATCCAGCATATGTTTTATGCAGCGCATGCCCTTCCAGCTGCACCCCTTCACTGGGAAACATCCATACGCATTCATTTACACACACACACTACAGACCATTTAGCCTACCCAATTCAGCTGTACCACATGTCTTTGGACAGTAGGGGAAACCGGAGCACGCAAACGCAGGGAGAACTTGCAAAACTCCACACAGAATCGCCAATTGACCCAGCCGAGGCTCGAACTAGCTACCTTTTTGCTGTGAGGCGACAGCACTACGCCACTGTGTGGTCCTATATTAATAATAATTATTATTTTATTTATAACAATATGAATAAATTATTATATTTATTGAAAACAAATAATTATAATGAAATGTATTTAAATTATTTATTTAAAATTTAAATATTTGAAGTATACATAAAGTCAACCTCATAGTGTCTTTATTTCTTGGGGGATGGGGAGGGGGTATATTTGGGGTGGTTTGCCCAGGGTGCCATTTAAGCTAGAACTATCACTGAAAATAGGGTAGAAAGCGTATAATGTATATTTTTGTAATAATAGTCATATGAGGACACTGCATGGCAAAGTTAAGGATCTAAATGCAGGAATCGTCTAACAGTCAATGGCCGGAACGGGAACAAACAGGCACATGCAGAGAAATCCAGAGCTTGGTCATAAACAGGTGAATGGTCAGTTTAGGCGGTAAACAACAGAAGCAAAGGAACAAAGCAAGGGTCAAACACAGCAAGGGAACGCTTCATAATGCTCACAATACAGATAAACAAGACTCAGCCTAGAAGTGCGTGTGCGTGCTGTGTAAATAGTCAT